ATATAATATACAATATATAGTATATAGTATATAGTATATAGTATACAATATATAATATAAAATATATATAAATATAAATATATATATAAATATATATATATATATATATATATATATATATATATATATATATATATATATATAAATATGTATATATATATATATATATATATATAAATATGTATATATATATATATATATATATATATATATATATATATATATATATATATATATATATATATATATATATAATATATAAACATACACACACACATTCAGATGACACTTTAACCCAGTTGCCTCGTATGGCAAAAATACATGCCTACCCCACTGTAATACAAATTCTATTTATTGTATTTACACATAGATGGCTCTAGCCAAGGAGCCAGTTATTAGTCCTACCTGTCTCACCTGTTTACCCTTTTTCTCAACTTTTGGAATGGGTCTTTAGCATTATTTCATTGTCTTTAATGTCATTGAGATTTTAGTAATTTAAAAATATAGTATAGTATTGAAATCAACTGTATTAGAAAGAAAAACTCATTTTTCTGCTAATTCAAGGAATGGGGAAATCAGGATCGGTCACAAGGGCCACTGATGGACTCCTTGCCTGCTGAGCACATGTGGGGCCATCTTTATGTAACAACATTCATTCAAAAAAATACAGGGGACAGAACATAAATCTGGGGCAATTGCATTAATAAAAATATCTTTAACAATATTTTGATTCTCGTTTTTTCCCATTACTAATATATACATAAATGGTCTCACCACTAAAGAATTTCACCACATAACTATTCAATCAATCACAAGACAAAGAGTACCTTGTATTTTTTACTTACATACTTCTGTTCCACAACTGGATGAAACAGAGCAGCTAATGTTAAATATACACCTTAACCAATTGCCGCCGGGGAAAGTTAATAAAAAATGGGGAAAACACTGTGCTCATTTTTTATATTTTTGTGAAAAGTCTCTGCACATAGATGGCTCTGCTAGTGCTTAGCCTTACCTGATTTCACCTTTCCTTGAATTGGCAGGAAAAACATATTTTTTACTAGTGCTATAAATATTGATGGTGTTAATTTTATTATAAACGTTATAATTACTATAATGTTATAAACATGAGTAACAGCAAAATAACATAATGTAAAATATTTTTGTAAATCAATGAAAAGGGTGAACGGGCGAGAGCCAGTACTTGTAATTGGCTCATTGGTGTAACCATCTATCTGTACAAACAATTAAACAAGTAAACTCACAGTGGGCATGGCAAGGACGTACGTGACATGCCCATCGGCAATGGGTTAATGAACTTGCAACAGGAGTCCTCAGCACTTTACTGAACCATGCGTCCAGGTGCACACAGAGTCAACTGCTCAAGGGAAAAATCTGAAGTGTGGGAAACATAATATTACCCCACTCTCTTTGCTCTAAGCTCTTTTGCTAATAAGGCTAAAAAGAGGCTTTAAGCTATCTTTTAAGGGGCTGTTCCTCCTCAATGACCACAACCTGGGCCAAACAAGCTATTTAGTGACCACAACTTAGAGCAGGCTCAACAACGCATAATGTAAAGATTATTCCCATATGAGAGGTGATTTACCATGATGTGGTGGGACATCATCCTGACATGCATGAGTTCAAGGGGACACTTTAAAAACTCCTCAAAAGATATTTATGTTAATGGTTCCAGATTTTTTTTTATAATGATAAAACAATGAGACATTTTCAATTCCATATCTTAAATCATTATATACCTTCTAAATCTTTTTCCAATGAATTTTTTTCTTTTTTCTCTTTTGATCTCCTTGGGATGCAATACTTCCCTTTATTGGCCATTATAGCAACAATAGCACAAGTTTCAGCAAAACCACATTTGAATCTATTTTAATCAATCAGTGCTAGGTAATTCCACTGTTTTTTGTTTTTTGTTTTTTTTAACAAATCAATGGTCCTACAAATATTTTGTCACCAAGGAGTCAATTAGTAAGCCCACCTGACCTCACTTATTATCCTCATTCCTTGAATTTTCCTTTTTTTTTCTAATGATATCAATACTATTACTTTTATTGCTATCATTACTGACATTGGTGGCCATCCTGGTGCAGTGGTAATGCACGTAGCTCGGTACCATAAGGGTCAGTCACTCAGTGCAAGAGTTCCAATCCTATCCAATGGTCCAAGATTAATCCGGGTACTTTGCTGACCACACATGGCTCAAAATCCATTATGCTTACTTGAGTGGCTACTGTGATGGGTGTGTAGGCAGGCCACACAGGGACACTCATGTGTGGTGACAAAACTCCATGCCTCCCTTTTGCATTGTTATTATATCCTTTTCTGCATAACTGTATTTTTGTTTTCTGCCATATTCTAATGTCTATATTTGTCATTTGATATGCTGTTTCCAGATGGTAATAGGCTGTTTTCCTTACACAGACTCCTTAGGTGGTCTATAACTCAGCAGAATGATAATAAGTAACATTTTATATCTGAGTCATCTTTTTATATTTTTGTAATATTCAATATTCTGTAATACAACCTGCACCTCTGGTCACTGTGGGCTGGAGCAGGATCCTAAGCAATGCAATAGCATCATCCCTGGCTAACAGATGGGACATTCCATATTTATTTATTGATGGAAATAATGCTAAAGCCCCTAACTAAATGCCTAATAAGTCTAATCCCCCTCTACTCACTGTAAGTGATTTCTGTTACTGCAGCCTTCAGCTGAAATTCTCATGATGGCATGCGCCCAAGCAAAATTTTTACATGACATGATGATCGCGTTATCCTGATCATAGGGGTCAGGAGTATCCACTTGGGGAGATGATCTCCACCTGTCAAAACTAAAGTTCTTCAAAAGAAGCCCTAACCCTTGTAAGGGAGTTTGCTATGGAAAATTGTATTACTATTATTACTGATATTGAGATTATTATATAATACCATTACCAATACTAATAAGAGAAAATAAAATATAAAAATCCTTCTATAAATCAAGGAATATGGTAAATAGGAGAAATCAGGTAGGCCTTTCATATAAAAATCTCTGTATAAGCAAAATCAGTCAACTAAAATCACAGAGGACATGGCATGTATTCCTGCCATCCCAGCATAACTGAGTTAATCTGCTTGCCATTAAAATATTCTTTAGTGCTGAAACAACTTAAAAAAAAAAATAAATAAATAAAAAATAATAATAATAATAATTACAATAATTCAGTTATGCACGTAAATAAACTATCTACAACACACCTCCATCATAATTTTCTTTTTACAAAAGTGCTGGACAAATTTACATGATTGTAATTTCTTCTATATTCTTTATGATTTATATTTCTCCTTTGGTGGTGAGAACACAAATGCATAACCGAGATAATGGAGGCAGAAGACAACAGGACTAACTTTAGCTTTACACAAAATAGATAGGAATTTAGGAGATAATATACACATAAGTGCAACAGAGATTTCTTTTCAAAAAAGAGAAAAATGAGGGTCAACTCTCATTTTACTATTAGCAGGTGAAGCTGCTAATCTACTACAAGCAGAAGAAAACAAAGACACTCTCCAGGACAACTTTTCTTTTTCTTTTGATCTTAAGAATTCCTTCATACTCTAAAATTAAATGACATTGTTTTCTTTCTGTTCAAAACTGAATGACCAAAACACAGGGTGGAAGCAAAACGTGACAAATCACATAATTTCTGTGAAATATATGGCAGTATCTTCAAACTACTTGACCTGCAAGGCAGCACAGTAAGACTGTCTTGAATGGATATCATCTGTTCCATTAGATTTCATCTAGAATAAGCAAGCTGGATCCTGATGGCATAAGCCAGTCACTGTCTCAAACAGTTTTGAAAGAAAAAAATAAATATATATGATAAACAGAAAATACATCTACCTTTTCTATGCAATTCTGGATACATGTTTGTGTAACTACAGTATTCCCTGAGTTATTAATGAAATTAATCTTTTTCAAATATGTTTTGTATTGTACTGGTCTAGGTATCTTGTATCCATGTGCTAAACAAGTATCAAATAAAATCATTAGAAAATAATTAAAAATTCTTCAGAAATCTACTCAAAGTATATAAGGTATTTTTTTAATTAATATTATTTACTTTACATATAACTTCATCACTCTATTATAATTTTACTCAAATAAGACTGCAAAGTCTTCCTTATTACTATAATCCCATTCTGGGCCTTTTGCCAAAGATACGGACTTCAACTTGTTTATCAGTGTTGTGTCTACTAAGATGGATGCTTCTCATCTAAACATCACAGTCATGTTCTTCATGGAGAACTTCAAATTTTATTGTTTACTCTCTTTGTATAATACAGTAAAGAAACTTGAGTTGCATAAGCTTACATTTTGGAGATCATTATCACTATATTGAAAGAAACTGGAAACAGTGGCCCACTTATATGAAATTTCACTATTTAAAATCATGCATAACAAGTCTTTACTTATTTATTAAATGACAGAAAGGGTTTTGCTTAACTATTTTCTTTCTGGCTTTCTGAATTTTCTTATCACCCAATGAATAAATGATCACAAGTGACTGCAAAAATCTGTATGAACCAATATAGAATAAATACTGATTGCAGCTATCTACACCTTTTGAAAATTATTAACATTCATCATCTCAATAGAAAAATAAATGTAGAAAAAAAATGTAATTTGCCCCAAACCTGAAATTCTATTTCATCATTACATTAAGGAGACAATATGCTGAAAACAGACAATGAGATTATCAGTCATTGAACAGAACAAGATTACAGATACAAGGAAGAAAATCAGTAGTGAAACAAGACAAGAGACATGGAATATCATTTGACTTGTACACTGCTTATTAATTATATGATGCAGAAGCTGAAGCTTATTTTCCTTTCACATAAAATAAAACAAGAGATGAGGTAAAAGACAATCACTTTTTTTTTGTACTTCCCTCCAGCAAACCCACACACATTACACAACAGGTGTAACCTACCTGAATTGTCTGGCTCTGATCAGAAAATGGACTATTGAAGAAGGTTGTGATGATATTCATGAGAGAGTTGATTACATAGTTTTCCAAGGCTCTGTTTGGATTAATGAAAAATAACATTACAATAAGAATTTATAAAAAACACAACTTCTGCAGAATGTAATTTCCTTTCACTTACTCATATAATTACATATTCAATAATGCATTCATTCACAGACTCACTTAATTCCCTTCTTAATATATATATATAGGATCAAAAGGATCAAAACTTACTTGTCAGCATGCCTTCTATCAGGTGGAGCAGTGGCAACTCGGCCCATGTCAACCAGAAAAGACTTCTCAAACAGACTCCAAATGTGGTGGGAATTATAAATTTCTTTCATCTCAACTTCTGTATCGATGTAGCAGTGATTGAGGAAATTGATATAGGCCTCTTTAACCTGTGACAAAATCGTGGTGGCATGAGTACTTTACACTACTAATAGGAATGAAGTTGTCATATACAGAAGGTAATTGTGTTTGCAATTTGATTATTCATGATATCATATACTGAATTCGTCTTCAGGCTTTAGAAATAAGATGTACATCATTTAGTAATGCTATCACTACTAACATGATAATTCTGACTCGCAATCCTTTGTACATCATAACTTCAGTGCTACACACATGCGATTTTTTTTATAATCATACACTAAAACATTTCTAAAATGTTACAAAAAGAATAACATAAATTAGTTATCAACACAAATAAAAAAGGTAAAAATACATTCATGTTCTTATGCCAATGCCACTGCAAAGATAACTGGTAGGACAAAAATTCTGCAACTCTTTATTGTAAACAAATGAGAAAGTAAATTTACTTTTAACATTTTTAAAGATGTGAAACTAATCTAGAACCTAAACTCAGAACAGGAAACTCTAGGAACAAATAGTTCTTAATAAAATTGTAATAAAATATTTACAAGAGACATTTTGTTCAATTTAGTTCAATCATCAGGGCTGGAAACGGTTACTTTATTTCCCTTATTTGTATATTTCTTCTCATTACAGGTAACTCACTGATTCAATACAATCAAACACCTCTGAAAGGCTAAAAATCATCCACAATCTATAATGCCCTTAAAATGATTCATAGCTTTTTCTTCCATCCTTGAGCAAAATGCATGTAGCTGGGAAGCAAACAGCATAGTATAATGAATTCAGTAGCACTTATAACTTACTCATGGTTAAAATGCCTCACGGGATCTCATTATATCAAACAGTTTCAAGAGGATTTACAAATGGTAGCAAACTATGATATGTATGGTAGAAAGCATGTTATGAAGAACTTACCTTCATTAACTTATCTGATGAAGCATTTAATGTCAAAGCAAAATTTCTGAATCTTTACCCCCTTCATAAATAAATAAATTGATCTAGTTTCCAGCCCTGGTTTTTGACTGCCCTGAGAGTATAAAATAATCTGCCAAGTCAAAAGTTTACATCATGAGCATCATACCCCCTGGTTTGTAAGTGTAGTAGTAAAATGTAAAGATCATAGTCATTCCAATTTTTTTTTTCCTTTTCTCGTTAGAAATCATTGCATAAACTTGATTAATATGTATATAATCTAGACTAGCATGTTCATCTCCTTCACTGCATTGTGAATGTTTCATTTATGTGTGGATTATTATATTCCTACATTCCATTTTTTCTGGAAACAATATGTTTAATCTCGGCTCCCTATAAAGCACAAAATGCAGCATATCAGAATCATTTGAGCACCTCAATATGACTTGTTTAATCTTTTTTCAGTTTACTTAGTATTATACATATCTTTTTCATGTCTTACAGAGAAAACGTACTTCTGATGATTTTTACCCAAAATGTACTTTAAATATTCTGCACACAAAGTAGATCAGTAAATGTCAAATGTTCAAAATGATATTATACTGTCACCTACAAACTTGTAATATTCATTGGATAATACATCTGATATGTTCAATGACAGTAGTTACAACACTTAAACATCAACACATTTTAAAGCAAAGTGGTTTGCATGCCACATAAACAATCTATGATTACTTTTTAGTAAAACTAATATCAAGCTTCAAGCCTTGAGAGTCTAAGATTACAAAGTGCAAATGAAAAATTAAAGAGAAAGAATTTCATGTCAATCTTAGATCTTTCACTTCACACATCTGCAGAGCAACCTTTTTCTCAAATGCCTGAAGTGGTTGCCTCATTGCTGTTGAAGCTACCCTTCTTTCAACAAGAAACTACAGAAGAAATTAAAGAAACACAGCATATCATAATTATAAATGAAGAGAGAGAGAAAGAGATACAAAAAGAAAGCAAGACAATAATTTGTCAAAACTAACAATAAATAAGCACACCAGACACTGTATCTGCTCTATCATGGTAACAATCACAATACCTCAATGATACACTCAGGGTGCGTCACAATCGATACTACGTCATCAAGTGTAATTAAACTGTGACATTTTATCTCGGTGTAAACGTTCTTGCCTTCTGTCAGTTCAGCGAGCAGGTTTACAAGCTCAATGTGGTACCTAGAGGAATGATACTTTAGTAACAGAGATTCCCAAATACAAGTAAAATAAAAAGAAATACATTTCTGAGGTAGCTGCAGCTGGAAACTCTGGAACCAGTAGAAGGATTTACCTGAAATTTGAAAGTATATTACCTGCACCAAAAGGAAGGGTTTTCTTTTCACTTCTTAAAATGGAGTTTTAGGTAATTCTAAGGTAGGTTTCTTTCTAATCATATAAAACATGGCAGAATAACAATAATAACAAAGTAAATAAAAAAAAAGATAAATATATAATCAAATAATGCTACAGCAGTAACAGGCAAAAAGCTTCAAGCCTTGAGAGTCTAAGATTACAAAGTGCAAATGAAAAATTAAAGAGAAAGAATTTCATGTCAATCTTAGATCTTTCACTTCACACATCTGCAGAGCAACCTTTTTCTCAAATGCCTGAAGTGGTTGCCTCATTGCTGTTGAAGCTACCCTTCTTTCAACAAGAAACTACAGAAGAAATTAAAGAAACACAGCATATCATAATTATAAATGAAGAGAGAGAGAAAGAGATACAAAAAGAAAGCAAGACAATAATTTGTCAAAACTAACAATAAATAAGCACACCAGACACTGTATCTGCTCTATCATGGTAACAATCACAATACCTCAATGATACACTCAGGGTGCGTCACAATCGATACTACGTCATCAAGTGTAATTAAACTGTGACATTTTATCTCGGTGTAAACGTTCTTGCCTTCTGTCAGTTCAGCGAGCAGGTTTACAAGCTCAATGTGGTACCTAGAGGAATGATACTTTAGTAACAGAGATTCCCAAATACAAGTAAAATAAAAAGAAATACATTTCTGAGGTAGCTGCAGCTGGAAACTCTGGAACCAGTAGAAGGATTTACCTGAAAATTGAAAGTATATTACCTGCACCAAAAGGAAGGGTTTTCTTTTCACTTCTTAAAATGGAGTTTTAGGTAATTCTAAGGTAGGTTTCTTTCTAATCATATAAAACATGGCAGAATAACAATAATAACAAAGTAAATAAAAAAAAAGATAAATATATAATCAAATAATGCTACAGCAGTAACAGGCAAAAAGCTTCAAGCCTTGAGAGTCTAAGATTACAAAGTGCAAATGAAAAATTAAAGAGAAAGAATTTCATGTCAATCTTAGATCTTTCACTTCACACATCTGCAGAGCAACCTTTTTCTCAAATGCCTGAAGTGGTTGCCTCATTGCTGTTGAAGCTACCCTTCTTTCAACAAGAAACTACAGAAGAAATTAAGGAAACACAGCATATCATAATTATAAATGAAGAGAGAGAGAAAGAGATACAAAAAGAAAGCAAGACAATGATTTGTCAAAACTAACAATAAATAAGCACACCAGACACTGTATCTGCTCTATCATGGTAACAATCACAATACCTCAATGATACACTCAGGGTGCGTCACAATCGATACTACGTCATCAAGTGTAATTAAACTGTGACATTTTATCTCGGTGTAAACGTTCTTGCCTTCTGTCAGTTCAGCGAGCAGGTTTACAAGTAATCATATAAAACATGCAGAATAACAATAATAACAAAGTAAATAAAAAAAAGATAAATATATAATCAAATAATGCTACAGCAGTACAGCAAAAAGCTTCAAGCCTTGAGAGTCTAAGATTACAAAGTGCAAATGAAAAATTAAAGAGAAAGAATTTCATGTCAATCTTAGATCTTTCACTTCACACATCTGCAGAGCAACCTTTTTCTCAAATGCCTGAAGTGGTTGCCTCATTGCTGTTGAAGCTACCCTTCTTTCAACAAGAAACTACAGAAGAAATTAAAGAAACACAGCATATCATAATTATAAATGAAGAGAGAGAGAAAGAGATACAAAAAGAAAGCAAGACAATAATTTGTCAAAACTAACAATAAATAAGCACACCAGACACTGTATCTGCTCTATCATGGTAACAATCACAATACCTCAATGATACACTCAGGGTGCGTCACAATCGATACTACGTCATCAAGTGTAATTAAACTGTGACATTTTATCTCGGTGTAAACGTTCTTGCCTTCTGTCAGTTCAGCGAGCAGGTTTACAAGCTCAATGTGGTACCTAGAGGAATGATACTTTAGTAACAGAGATTCCCAAATACAAGTAAAATAAAAAGAAATACATTTCTGAGGTAGCTGCAGCTGGAAACTCTGGAACCAGTAGAAGGATTTACCTGAAATTTGAAAGTATATTACCTGCACCAAAAGGAAGGGTTTTCTTTTCACTTCTTAAAATGGAGTTTTAGGTAATTCTAAGGTAGGTTTCTTTCTAATCATATAAAACAAAAAAAAGAGAGACAGAGAGAGAGCAAAAGAGAGAGAGAGAGAGCGAGAGAGACTGAGAGAGAGAGACAGAGAGAGAGAGAGACAGAGAGAGAGAGAGACAGAGAGAGAGAGAGACAGAGAGAGAGAGACTGAGAGAGAGAGACAGAGAGAGAGAGACAGAGACAGACAGACAGACAGACGGACAGAGAAAGACAGACAGAGACAAACAGAGACAAAGAAAGAGAGAGAGACAAAGAAAGAGAGACAAGAAAGAAAGAGAGACAAAGAAAGAAAGAGAGACAAAGAAAGAAAGAGAGACAAAGAAAGAGATAGAGAGACTGCAGTTTCAAAAATTATTTCATTTCCAAAGAAGAAATAGGGATGTATTGTTTCAACATTGTAATAACTGCATATGAAATGATAAGGTTCATGAATTCAGTTTATACCATTGTTTTTCTCTCATTCCAAAATTCTTTTCTAAAATATAAAAAAGGAAACCACATAAGCACACTGTGATGACAGAACTCCATAAATCCATACTCTCCAAACATGTGC